AGAGTGTCTGCCTCTATAGATAGACTGTGTTTAAAAGATGTTATGGAAGAGGAATAAGTTTTACTTGACAAGATTGAGACTAATCTGAAAGTGGATTTAAAAATGACAGGCTACAATAATAACCTGGAAAAAGATGTTACACTAGATATGCAAAAGAAACCGGCTGATGTCTTAATAATTTAAAAGGATATACAAATAACAAACCAGGAGACCTGGATAAGTTTCCTATATTGGATCTATAAAAGAGGCTTGTTAAAGCTCTGAAGGGTTTTGTGAGAAGAGACAAAGAAAAAATGAAAAGAAATCAAGTTCTAGGACATTATTTGAAGGGATTAAAGATCAAGATAGTTAGAAGTAAAAGGAAGTAATATAAAGTTGATTTATTTGATCAAGGTTAACATAGATATGTTGCTATCTCTGGTAACCCTTAATGGAATTTTGCTGACATCAGGACTGAAATGATGAGGCTTTAAGGATTTCTTTATAGATAAGGGATGGGATATGGGAAGAAGAGATCATTGGTTGTATTTAGGAGAAGGTGATAAGTTACTAAAAGTGTTTATAATTCTTGTGATGAAGGGGGAAGTTATTTCTTTATATATTTCTTTTCTTTTTCTTTACTAAATTCTTATTTTTTTTCTTTTCTATTCTCTTTTCTATTTTTTCTCTTTTCTGCACCTTCTATTTTTTCCTTTTTTTTTTTTTAGTTTGTATTTGTTTTTATTGTTGTAATTGTAATCTTTAATAACATTACTATTAAAAAAAGACAGTAAGCAACCTGAAATTATATCTAAGCAAAGTAGCAGTGCTACTGTTTAGGAAATGGAGTGTTTTAAATGTGATTGCACACCCTAGGGCAAAGGTAAGCAACTGGGCTCCAAATCTGGAAGCAAATCACCCATTTTCAACTCTGTGAAATTTAAAATAAAGCTGCTACTAGAATTTACCTATTCTGCCTTGAACTTCCCAAATCCCTCAACATATGAAAAAGAACTGACAGTTTTGTCCCCAATGCCTCCCTCAGCCCTAAAACACCTTGTTTTCAAAAGTGTGACCTGTGCTGTAAATAAAGTTGCCTGCCCGTACATGGATTTGCTCACTGAAAATCATGTGATGTTTTAACTAATATGAAACGTAGGAGCTAGAATTTTGCTTTGGGCAAAGTGTTAAAGTAAGACAATCCCTATACTGTATCAGCCGTACTGGCTGCAAGTATATTTCCAAGTGTAATTCAAGTTATTTGCCAGATTTGACACGTTTAAGCATCTCTTAAATAAGATATATAAATCTTTTAGCTGTTGTGCAGTTATTGCATCTGTTGGTGGTAACATACTCTCTGTGTCGAACTCCCTCCCCCAAGGTGCTCAATTAATCTTTTCTGGATCTGTGTTCTGCCAGCTTTACTTTTTACTGTTTAATTACATCTCTTTGCTGCTGGATTTGTTTTGTCAAATGTTTGTTTCTGCTTCTATCTGTTTTAGATCTTTAGTTATGTTTGGTAAAGTTCTACAGCTGTTTTTGGAAGAGATAAGTGAAGCATACATTTCTTAATTAGTAACAATCAGAATATAGACATGCATAGGAGCTACCAATTTATCAGATTAAGTTGTAACCCGTGAATTGTTCTATAACTAGTATCTTCAAATCAGGCTATTTTTTATTTATGTTTGCTACATATGAGTTGCCTTTCTTTTAAAAAGTTATCAAAGAAGAAGAGTAGAACACATCAAACAAAATAACAACAACAACAGACAAGGAAGAGAGGCCAAATTGAATTTCTATCTTAGCTATTATTCTGGAATTTCCTATTCTGGTGTCTTTCAGCTATGGTGGTTCCAAGCCCCATAATTCCCAGCCAGCATGGCCAAATTATATGTAATCCAACATATCTGGCAGCCACAAGATTAGGGAAGTTCACAAACACATAATCTTTTGTCCTTACTATTCCAAAGAGATAAGCTTACTTGCAGTGTTGATTGTGGTTGGAGCTGACCATCTTTTCCTGAAGTTAATGTTTCTGAAAAATCAAAGCAACAAACCCTGCATATGTAAATATTAGGGAAGATCCCTGCAGTTTATTCCTTAAACAGAGGGCATCTCATTACAGAAACAGTTTAGTACTTAAATTTTTATTTGCTAAATGCATTCTTAAAAATTAGTTTCCAAGATCTGAGATCTACTCCTAATATAGGCCCCAAAGGCCCAATTGTTTTTATTAAAAATATCTTTGAATTAATATTTTCCACTAGCCTATCAGGCTAGCATTCTGAGGTATAAATGTCAGGGAGAAACATGTGGCTTAAACTTGCCATCTCTTCACTGACCTCATGCATCTATATGTAGGATGTTCCATAATTACAAACTATCGCTAAGGCCAGAATTGGCAACTTGCTGTTTTGAAGGATAATGGAGTTAAAACTATATCAAAAAGTCCTCCTGCAAGTTGAGTCATTGTTTTCAAGTTTTTAGTTTGTCCTCTGAAACAGCCATTAGGTAGAGACAGCAAAAATCACACCCTTTCTGTTGGCTGTGTAGATTATTTCAATAAGATATACAGTTCAGGGGCAGAACAATCTTTCAGGCTATATCCAATCTAAATCCAGCCTTCTCCTACACATCTAGGAGATGTAGACAGATCACCTACTTGGCTTCAATGGACAGTTCCTTGACTGTAGTCTTTCCTCACAGCCTGTATCCTGCTTGCTGCTTTTGCATAATACCCTAAATTACATTCAAGACCTCTACATCTGGCCTGGGATGCAGGGTTCCTGAAGAACTGGTAGCTTGGCCTCCCAAATATAACAGCAGGGCAACAGCAGGGCATGACACCATTCATCAGCCAGAGGAAGAGCAGTTGCAGGGAGCATGCTTCACTCACCCTGCCAACAAGATTTCATAAACCACAGTCTAATGCCTGAATTTGTTTTGTCCTCTTTTCTAAAGCCTAAAGAGGAGAGTAAAATTGCATTTCTGTAATGACTGTTAGTGTTGTTAACCCAAAAAAACATGAATAGCAAGGTCAGTGTTTATTAAATTGCCCAAAGTGGACATTCTCTGTGGGGGCTCCCCTTCTCTAGAACAACCCCAAAGCCAGAGTAGTTCCCAGCCTCCTGACCCTCCAGAAGCTGGTAAAAAGATGATTATCCCAAGGCCAGGAATGTTATAATTTTACCATATGTTATTTTGTAACATATTTCTGTTGTTGTATGTTATTGCTGTTATTGCATCAGTTGCAGCTGTTGCTTTTGTACCTTGCTTGAGTAGCCTTGGCTTGAAAGGGTTTATCAGTTCATAAATAAATAAAACTGGCCTTCGGAATAATTTGGAGATTTCTCCAGTGAGCAATACTGTATTTCTGAATATTAAAAAGCAGAAATTATTGCAAAAGTTAGCCCTAGTGAGATACTTTTGCACAAACATATAGGAGTATTAAATGCAACCAGTCACGATGATGATGATGATGATAATTTAACAATTGTTGATAAGAAAGACAAAAAAAAAGTTTGGATAGTGGACACTACAATATCTGGAGACAGCAGAATAGAAGAGAAAGAACTGGAGAAAATCACAAAATATAAAGACCTGCAAATAGGAATAGAAGAGAAAGAACTGGAGAAAATCACAAAATATAAAGACCTGCAAATAGGAATAGAAGAGAAAGAACTGGAGAAAATCACAAAATATAAAGACCTGCAAATAGAAGTAGAACGACTATGGCAAAAGAAAGCAAAGATAGTACCAATAGAAATAGGCGCCTTGGGTGCAATCCCAAAACAGCTGGAGCACCACTTGAAGACCATCGGCATTGACAAAATCACCATCAGTCAATTGCAAAAGGCAGCTTTACTTGGAACCGCTTATATTGTGTGACAGTACTTTTAACACCATCAAACAACATCTGCCTATCCCAGGTCCTTGGGAAGGACTTGATAGGTGAATAAAAATGCCAAATCCAGTCTAAACATCTGGCTGTGCGACCAACCATAATAACAATAAGTGATATGATGACACTGTATCCCATCATGGACTGAAACAAGGTTGCCCTGCCCATCCATCACCTCTGTAGCACATCTGTACCAATTGCAGCTGGAGGAGAAGCGGGCTCACCTAGAGCACCTGGATTTGGGCTCCCCAAAGCCGCGATCTTCCTGGACAGCGCGAGCTCCTCTCCTTCCCGCAGGCAGCCAGAGTGGGCTTTCCTTCTAGAGTCACACGCCTGAGTCCCTGCAACAACCTCTGGATTATGAAACGACGCCATGTGTTTGGACCCAAAGGAATCCCTCTCCCGCCCGGCTGCCCTGCCGCCCGCCGTCCCGCCTCCCGCCGTCCGCTGGCTTTTTCACCCACCAGGCGGCGCCGCGTCTAACTCACGAGCGCGAAACCCGGCTCTCATCTTGTCTTGCGTCCGCCCGCGCTCAGTTCGTCACATTCAAACGCTGATGCCCAAACCGTCGCTCCGCCCAAAGCTACCTGCCGTTGCCAGGCAACGAGTTTCCTTGGAAACGGCCGGGAGAGCACAAGGCGAACGAGGAGGTGTGAATGGTTGTCCTCCTAGACCCTTGCATTTGGTCGCCTCGAGAAGGACGCAAATGTTTTGGAACAGGGTCGCCCGTCATTAAAGGGCCTTGTCATCGCCGAGCGACTTTAGGAGGCTGTAATAAACGTTAACGCCCGAAGATATAGCATTTGTGAGGGTTGTTTGCTTTTTTCCTTGGGCTTTTCTGCACCAAAAGGCAATAAAGTATTTTTCCAATTTTCACCCAGCCATAGGTGGTAATGCCTAGCTACCTTTGGCCATCTCAAAAGCTAAACTGTGTGCAAAATAAAGGAAAACAGCAGAGCAAGATGTGGTCTGCTTAATTCCTAGATCTGAGACAACCAGGTAATTTCAGACAGTAAACTCCACCGAGATGCTAAAATAAATAATTGAAAATAAAATCACTCCCAAAGGCATTGCAAACCATCTGGCATCATCACGAAGAAAATGATATGGACATATATCCTGTGAAGTCACCAGCAGTCAAGTTTGATTCAAAAGCAACTTAGTCACTGGTTCAAGAGGAGCAAATGGGTGCAATGGGTCTATTTTATAATTGGTATATAAGCCAGTTGGAGCACATTTCTTAATAAAGGTAAAAGTAGGGTAGAGTTGTTTTATGTCCTTATATTGTTATCTTTAATTGTGTTTATTCAGTTTCCCAAACAAGACACTGGGATCAAAATAATTTTAAAAAACCAGAAAAGTCCCAAAATAGCATCAGATGAAAATGGAAGAAACCAAACCAGAGATTCTCTTGGAGAAATTATAACAGTTTACCTGCTTGAAAAGAAATTGGGGGACGCGGGTGTCCAGGAGGCAGTTCCAAAGACAAAGACCTGAAAAATGAAAATGAATAGCTAATGTACCCTTATTCATGTGTAAAGCATTTTAGTCTGGAAATTCAGAATTGTAAATTGAATAAGCACTTTATAGATAACACTGATTTAAAAGTTCATATAGTTGAAGGTAGCCCGCCTTTCCCCCCTTTTTTACAAAGATGGGCTCCAATCTTTTTGAAAATGAGAAAAAGTCCTGTTGACAATGCTGTGTAAAAGGGCTATCTGGCACTTTTGTTGCCAAAGCAACACCCAAAAGCAGCTTTAAAATAATTTTATAATCATAAAATAAAGATGCAAGAAAAGCTAAAAGCCCCACTGTCAATTTTTGGGAAGCAACACATTTTTTTTTAATTATTTGGTGAATTTGCACAACACACCTGGCTAATAGAAGTGTACTAGTAAAAATCTACCAGAGAGAAAAAGCTGACAGACAGGTAGATTTATAACCAGAATCCTATGAACATGGGTAGGGGCACAAGGAACTCAAACAAACTTTCAAGCGACATTGAATCCATTCCATTTCTTACCATATTTTGGCAGCAACATTTAAACAGTTTTGAACTGAGCCAGCTCAGGTCCTGCTTTAGTACCTCTGAACTGTTTTATTTTATGATCAACCATTAATTTTAATAACAACTTTTGGGATTAGGCAAGTCAAATTCTTTTTCATTTATGTCCCTTCGCTGTTTTCATAAAGGAAATGGCTTATACAGGTTTTTTAAAAAGTAAAAGATTTGTAGAAATATTCAGGCTTACATGATTAATTGTTCAAGGTGGAAAATACTGTTGCTGTTCAAAGGACAATCTAGTTTCCCTTAGGATCAGGCATTTCAGGCTACAAATGATCTCAGGCCAACTCAGTGAATTTCTGCCAGGCTCCCAAATAACACTTGTATAAACTATGTTCACAAAGTCCCTCTTACACCTGTTCAGTAGCAGCTGTGAAGGGCAACCACTGGACTTAATCCAGCACTATTACACAAGAGCAAATATGTCAAAGCTATATTTAGGCATCTCTTTTGCACTGGAGTCCCCCCAGTGTCTTGATTTGGTTTATTTGTTCTATGTCTTACTCCCACAGATGGCCTGTGCTATTTCATTCCTGATCCCTTTATTCCAAGCACCAGAGGCAACACTGAATATTATTTCAACACTGGTTTTGGGACCACTTTTTCCCCACAGTCATAGGCAGCAGGTGGGTTTAGGAAGTGCAAAGCCTAGTATGTTGGCACAGTTTTGTCTTCTGGCATCTTGTTTCCCAGCATATGACACCCTAGGCGTTTTGGCTCATTTCTGTTCTGTTTAGTCCAAAAATGAGATTTTTGGGACTAGCATCTATAATTAAACTTGGTATTTTACCTGGATAAATATGGTTGCTGGAATAATTCTGCTGCAGTGACATGAGAACACCTTACCAGCTGAGAGTTTTTGCCTGAGCACAGTCACTTGCACACTGTCTTAATGGTGGTTTGGAGGGGTACAGAAGATCTATATCACTGTTCCATCTAGAAGCTTTTAATTATTTTGACTATTTAACACTATTCGAGTAATATAAGATTCAATTATAAATGTATTGGC